ATATCATTGGAATGAATGTAATGAAATGATTATAATCTTAACCTGTTCAATCTATACAACATGTTATCTTCCTTTCTATCAATATAAACTAACCCCTTTTGTCCACTTTATAATTTGAATTGCCTGGTCAAACATTTTTTTTAAATCCTTTTTAAATTGATGTTTTTTTCTTCTCATTTATTCTGGACTGGATTTAACATTAATCCCGATGTATTTTTATTAATGGTTTCAATTTTTAAGAATTTGAGTTTCATTTACTCAGATTTTTTTATTTTCATTAAAATTTGTGTGAAAAAAAAGAAAAAGAATCCAAGCAAATAAAATAGGAATAAAAAAATAAAATGAGTCATCTGACTCCGGTAATATTCCATTCAAAAATCAAAAAATTTTTCATATATTGTTTCTTTGTTTTTTTATTATTTTAATTTGTTTATATTGAATATTTGTGTTATGGTCCAGTTCCTTGTACCACGGTGATAGTCCAAGGTAGAACCAATAAAGAAGAACTCGAACACGGATATGGAATAACACAGATATATTACAAACAGGAATATATACAGAGAAGTAGAAAATCAGGTTTAGTTAATACTCAAAAATCAGGTTTAGTAGTAATTGTCTGAATAGATTCTCAATCAGACTCCTCAACTCACTGACAGACTTTCCTGACAACCTCACGACCGGACTTCAAGAAAAACTCCTGCTTGAAATGAGGCGCAGTTTTTATTACGTATGGAATAGTCCATTATGTTATTATGGGTAAGGTCCCATAACATAATGTTTGCTTGATTTATATTTTTTTTATTTATGTTTTTTTTTTTTTTTGTTATTGCAGACTTTGTCAATTTCCTTTTGGATAGTTTTATTAATTTTTTCCATCACACCATGTTTTCTTTCGACAAACATATAGCCTTTTTGGTCCGCATGAATGTTAATTATTTCATTAGAAATCAAAAATTTTATTTCTAAATGAAATATTCTGTCTGGGTTGGTCATGAATTATAAGAGACATGGCAATGAAAAAAGATCTGACATAAATATTTAACTTGATTGATTCAGCAGAATAAAAAAACAAAAATTTGATTATGGAAATATGTTGAAATATAGTTATAAGTAAATGGATATCTGAAAAAAGGTAAGTGTTAAATTTTTTTTTGCAGTTAGTTGGATCTATTCATATATAAGTAATAAAAACAGAACAATATTTTTGTTCTGCAGTCTCAGGTTATACAAATAAATATATCTGTAAACCTGCATCTTTTCTGTCGCTCTTTTATTTTGTTTAAAAATTATTCCAATACATTTTCCCTATTTTTAAAAATATGTCTTTATGTTGGCTAAATTTTAATAATAACAGACTCCAAATTTGTGTGTTTTATTTATACAATAGTAAAAAAATGCATAAAAATTTCATTTTGACTGTTTAAAATATCATCTTTTATACAAATTCAAAAAATTTTCCTTTAAATAAAATCTGTGAAGCAGAATTTAACATAAAAATTTTTCAAATATAACAGAACAATCATCGAAAATAAACTTAAAGAAAAGAAAATACTCAGAAAGAGAAAAATATAAAATATAAATTAATAACAAATTATAGAAATTTAATTTTTAATTCTTTCTTAATTTGGAAATTTAAAAATCAAAATTTTATTTGATAGGCAAATTTAAAAATATTATTTAACTTTGTGTTTTGAAAATAATCATTATATTTATAGGTTTATATATATATATATATATATATATATATATATATATATATATATATATAGATATTGAATATTAGTGGTAAATATACACATACATATGCAAAATATATAAATATATATACATAGGTGCATACACATTACATGTATATTTTTTTAAAAATTCCAGAGGATAGAATCAATTAGAACTCAATGTCCAAACAGAGTAAGGATATACTAATACTTTTAAGGTGTTCTAGATTTATGGAATTAAACATGCTCAATATTTCCACAAATATAAATATATATAAAAATCCCTGCTATATATTTATATATATTGTTTCATTTTGATGCAATAGTGGCTTCAAAAATTATGTTTTCCATAAAACAGCCTGTCAAACCTAAGTGTTGATTTCAAAGAGAATATATATATATATATATATATATATATATAAGACAAACCTCTATTTTTATACTCCACCAATATTAACAACAGACTTCAGACATTAAGAGATAAAATTTTTTAGGCAAAATAAAAAATATCTGCACTAAAAAAAACTTTCAAATTTAATAATGTATTTCAAATTTTTTTTTGTTGGTTGGCAGGTATTAAGGAAAAAATAAAGACAGGAAGTACAATACCTTTTATACAGAAGAAAGCAATAAATTTATTATTTTGAAAAATTTTTTATCTATTTAAGAATATATATATATATATATAATAAATATATATTATATATATATATATGTGTGTGTGTTTTTAATAAAATTTAATTATGATTTTTCTACTTTAATTACTATAGTGGTTTTATAATTAAAAATAATCCCTTCCCATCTATGGACAATCAAATTTAAAAAACACAATTACCTATTAGTCCGTTGATTTAAGGTTTGTATGTATATAAAATATTTTTTAATTTTTATTAATTGTTTGCCCTTAGTAAGATTAATAGGTGATCATGGTTGAGAACTTCTATTTATCCCTTGTAGCTCTTTTGTCCCTTTGCTTTCCCCAGTCTATGTTCTGTCATCCCCTTATCGTTGATAGAGAGGTATGTCACACATTGTTTTCTTATGGTACCTTTATATCTATTCAAAATGATTCTAGAAGATTTGTTCTTAATAGATCTTATTAGATACAATAAGAGATTAAAAACAATATCTAATAATTAAATAGAACAATTTTAATAATCTATTGTAATTAAAGCTTTGTGACGGATAGAAGATTCATTCTTACCACAGATCTTATTAAGCACAATAAGAGATTAACAACGGTAAGTAATACTAAAATGGAACAATTTTAATAATATATTGTAATTAAAGCTATGTGATGGATAGAAGATTCGTTCTTACCGTAGATCTTATTAGACACAATAAGAGATTAAAAACAATATCTAATAATTAAATGGAACAATTTTAATAATATATTGTAATTAAAGCTTTGTGACGGATAGAAGATTCGTTCTTACCGTAGATCTTATTAAGCACAATAAGAGATTAAAAACAACATCTAATAATTAAATAGAACAATTTTAACAATATTCTAAAAGTTGGGTGTACAGTATATAAAGTACAATGCATTACTGCGTGCATGAGAAAGTAGCTGTGAGAAATCTACTATTTTTTTATTTTGTTTAATATAATATATATATATATATATATATATATATATATATAGATAGATAGATGTTTATAGTATTACATTATGGTCATAACTACTGGTAGTTACTATAGTGGTTTTATAACTCAAAAATAATCCCTTCCCATCTATGGACAATCAGCTATTAGTCGGGGGATGAACTCCTTTGGTTAAAATGAAAAATATTTATCCAAATACTCTGGGTAATGTAATTTCAGGATATATAGGGAGTGCGATAACAAACAGACAGAGACTACAACTTTATATATATATTGTTATATACAGACAAATCTCTCATCTATGGACCCCCCATCAAATGATTTTGGATGCAACAGACACAATCTGCATGCAAAATAAAAAAAAACAAAAACTTCCAAATCGTCAGCGATGTATTTCAAAATTTGTGGGCTTAGCTGAGCGAGTCATTATCATTCTTAAAATGACCTCTTGGCGGGCTTTTGCAATTGTAAACAAAGATGGGTCTACAGTATATAAAGTACAATACATTATTGCGTGCATGAGAAAGTAGCTGGGAGAAATCTATTATTTTTGTTATTTTGATTAATATATCTATATTAAGTATATATTTATTTATGCCATATATACATGTTTATAGCATTTACATTATGATCATAACTAGTTACTGTAGTGGTTTTATAATTCAAAAATAATCACTTCGCATCTACAAACCCTGTCCATTGATGAGAGGTTTGTCTATATATATGGTGCTTGCTGACTCATGTCTGAGTACAGCCATTATTACACATCTTTTTGGAGAAGATCTACTTATGTGCTGAAACAAAGTAGTTCTTTAGCCCAACAAGGGACCTATATACTCTAGCACAAACAGAGGTCTTAAGAGGTCCTCTGCAAATATATATATATATGTGTGTGTGTGTATGTATATATTCTCTGACGATCCGTGTAGGTGAATCCTTGGTAGCTTTATCTGACTCTTTAGGTTTGCTCAACTTAGTGTATTGAGCACTTAGTTATTTTACATACTCATATTGGGATTTTTTTTTTTGACTCAGAACTTGGATGCTAGACGATTGTCTTCGGCCGGCGTACATCTTCTGTTCTTTCTTTTTTTGTATATTTTTTCCCCTTGGATATTGGTCTGTTTATTTACATATCAAAATATCCAAGAACCAAAAACATATAATTTCTTTTTTTTTTTTTTTTAAGCATTTCAATCCTTTAAGGCGAGAAGCCACTAGGACGTATAGGGGTTATATACATTGATTTGGAGCAAGATTAGATAGGAGTGATAGAGGAAAGGATGAGGAGAAGGATAGTGGATACATCAAGGCAACTGGAGATGTCGATTGACATTACATTTGAATAGCTGGAGATTATAGCTTTCAGGGAAACTGGTATTTATAAGATTATTACTAATATATATATATATATATATATATATATATATATATATAGCGGACCTTCCCGGTGATTTTAGTGAATGATTGCTTGATCATTCATATTTAAAACTGAACAGCCAGATAACCAACACAGATGATTTGATTTTAGTGGGGATGGTTTCTGTAGAACTAGCTAAACTTTTTAGAAAAACTCAAAACAGGGAAAACTGGTGTGGATTCAAAGTTTTCCTTCTCCTAGACTGGCTACCGATCAAGGCTAAAAAACTCCATTCTGTCCTGCTTTAATGGATTCATACATTAACTAAGAATATTTGTGCAAAAGTTAAGGTATATGAACTTATGAAAATATGAACAGAGAGACCAAGAGATGCGGATGTACCGAGAGATACAGAGACAGAGAGATATGGACATACAGAGACCACGAGATGCAGACATACCGAGACCAAGAAATGCAAACATACTGAGAGATGTGGACGTACTGAGACCAAGAGATGTGGAAATACCAAGAGATGTGGACGTACTGAGACCAAGAGATGTGGATATACTAAGAGATGTGGACGTACTGAGACCAAGAGATGTGGACATACTAAGAGATGTGGATGTACCAAGACCAAGAGATGTGGACATATCAAGAGATGCAGATGTACCCATACCATGAGATGCAGATATACCGAGACCAAGAGATGCAAACCTAACAAGAGATGTGGACGTACAGAGACCGAGAGATGTGGATGTACCGAGAACAAGAATTGCAAACATACTGAGAGATGCGGACGTACCGAGACCGAGAGATGCGGACGTACAGAGACCGAGAGAGAGAAACGTACCTATATACCGAGAGAAGGACGTACCGAGACCGAGAGATGCGGACGTACTGAGGGATGCAGACATACCAAGACCGAGGGATGTGAATCTACTGAGACCGAGGGATGCGAATCTACTGAGACCGAGGGATGCGAATCTACTGAGACCGAGGGATGCGAATCTACTGAGACCGAGGGATAAACCATACCGAGAAAAAGGATGTATAATTTATATATATATATATGCAGACTACCGAGATTATAGAGATGGACACATTTAGTTGGAAAAATTGATGGACAGGCGACCTGTCAGAAATGAAATGTATCAGACCGAGAGATGTTCTTTTTCGAGAAAAGAAAGAACTGAAACATAAAAAAGGGGATCCGGACGTATCGAGACCGAGAGATTTTACGCAAAGAAAAAATTTTGGAAGAGATGCAGACGTACCGAGACCAAGAGATGCAGACGCGTTTTAGTAAAATAAATGACATACCTTACTAGACCAAGAGATGTTTAACATACTGATGGATGCAGACATACCAAGATCGAGGATATGAATGTATATAAATATATATATATATATATATATCATACTGAGGGATGTATATGTACTAGACCGAGGGATTCGGATGCGATACCGAGGATGTTTTACATTCTCAAAATATTTGGATGCAGACATTTGCATTGAAATTATATATGAACATGCGAGACAAATTGTAAAATACTGAATTTTCAAAGATGTAAACGCAGTTCTGGATTTATAAAGCCAAAATCTTGATTTTGTACATATACCGAGGAAAGGAATATTCAGAATTTAGGATGCCTTATAATAATAGCCGAGGTTGGAATGTGTCGAGACCGAGGATGAGACGTTCTACAGATTTATCGATTTCTTTTTTATTATTCGATAACTCCAAATGTGTGTGTTTCTGAGACCAGTTTGAATGTATTCTACTGTTAGTTTTCTAAAAACGAAACGAAAAATGTTTTTCTTCCCGATATGCTCAAGGATTTATGACGTACAAACACTTCTTGTATTCGTTTTACCGAAGGATGTGATTAGAAAAAAAATTTGAAGGATGTGGACGATACAGAAAATGCATTTTTTTCGTTTTACTTCATTTTGAATACGGATGTACTGAGACCAAGAATGTGATATATATGTATAGATGCGGATGTACAGAGATCACAACATTATATATACCAAGACAGATATGAACCTACCAAGACAGGTAGATATATGTGTGTTAAATCAATACTCTCTCTGAAACTCACAGAAATTAATATTTTCCCTCAGAAGATCAAAGCTATCACATCAATGAAGAAAAAAATTAATTAACCAGTTGAAAATTTTTAAAAAATGCTTTTTACAACACCTTTACTCCTGAGCCAAATACCAAACAAACTTTCTATTTTTAGATTTTGACAATATTTTCTTGATTATACGAGTTTTTTGCTTTTTTTGGTTTATGTTTCTTTCCCTTTATATATATATATATATATATTATATATATATATATGGCTGTGTTTATTAATCTGTTGAATGATGTGTAAGATTTTATTTTGGATTCCATCTTCTTCAGATGGTGTTGAAATTGGTGTCACCCTTGCAGACATATAAGCGGGAAAAAAATGGCTAATTTTATGTAAGAAGTCCATATATGTAAACATATCTGTTGATCAAGATCTAAAAAAAAAAAAAAAAAAAAATGTTGAATAATTTTTGTCTTTCATTTACATGAAAAGTGAAAAATTTGGGAACGAAAAAACAAAAGAAGACGTACTGAAAAATGAAGGAAAAAGGGATAAAGGAAAATAGAAAGTAGAAAAAAATGAGAGAAGGAAAACAATGGAGGCAACTGAAAATAGTATATGCATCATGTCCCATCAAAATGTATTCGTTCATTGCTCTCCACAACTTCCTTTTTTATCTACATAAAGAATGAAGGAACAAACAGAATTATAATATGATACTGGATATGACAGGAAGGTTCTCCTCCTCCATGAAGATGCATGTGGTCATTGCTCTCCACAGCTTCTTTTTTCATCTATATAAAGAATGAAGGAACGAACAGAATTATAGTATGGTGCTGGATACAGCAGGAAAGATCTCCTCCCATGAAGCTTAAACGTATCATATTTATACACCTTAACTTATCTATATATAAATGATATCCTGGACTGAACAGAATTATAGTATGGTGATGACTCCCTCCTCCATGAAGACATATGTGGTCATTGCTCTCCACAGCTTCCTTTTTTATCTATATAAAGAATGAAGGACGGAACAGAATTATAGTATGGTGCTGGATACAGCAGGAAAGATCTCCTCCTCCATGAAGACATATGTGGATTCGTATCAGCTTCCTTTTTTCATATAAAAGGAAGAAAATTTCTCTAATATGATGCTGGATACAATAGGAAAATATATCTCCTCCTTTATTTACAAAAAGAAATCTAAAGTTAGATGACAATACTGAAAATGGCATTAAAATTAATTTCATGACACATATTAGAAAGATTTCGGGAAGAATTTTAAAAGATTCCTTGACATTTCAATTTAAAAAGAAAAAAAAATCCTCATATCCAGTTCTGAAAAATAAATCCATTTGATTCCTTCATGATGTTTTCTATAGATGAAAAAGACGCTGTGGATCAATAATGACTTTTATCTCATGGAGAAGGCGTCCTTTTCCTGTCATATCCAATTCATGCCATTACTGGCAATTTCAAAATTTGTTCCTTCATTCTTTTATAGATGAAAAAGAAGCAACTTCACAATGACCACATACTCACATGGGAGGAGGAGAGATTTTTGTCTTATCCAGCACCATACTATATCAAATACTTTGTTCCTTCATTCTTTCTATAGATTCTAAAGAAGCTGTGGAGAGCAATGACCACATACGTCTTCATGAAGGAGGAGAGCTTTCCTGTCATATCCAGTATTATATTATAATTCTGCTTGTTCTTTCACTATTTATATAGATT